CGCGTGAAGCACTTTCGGGGAACGCATGCAAGGACGCTAGAAAGGGTGCCTGTGGAGGTTGCAAGCTTCGGAAAGAAGCTTCGCAAAGCTCCCAAGGAACTTCGACGGAGCTGCGGAAAGGCTCCTGGCATGCGCATTGGGAACGCGCAGGAAAACGCTTCTTGGGACACGCTGCAATTTCAAGCAACATGCTGTGACGCTTGACCGGCGCCGGAAAGAACTCCCGGGCCACCCTGCGATGCCAGCTTCTCATTTGAAACCCTCGTAGCTCTCAGAAAGCTGCGGAATTTAAACCAGCTGATTAGATTTACTCGAGTAAATGATTTACTTCAATAGATTTACGAATATATGGCATATCAATGGCATTGCCTAAATAAGCTGAATGTGTTCAGTGATGCAGGGGAAAAACCGAAGCATAATCTCTTCAGTGCTGTAGGGCTACAGGGCCACAGGGATATAGGGTTATAGGGATCTAGGGCTATATGGGCTATTGGGCTATTGGGCTATTGGGCTGTTGGGCTATTGGGTTTTTATTGGGTTATTGGGCTATTGAGCTGTAGGGCTAAAAGGCTATAGGGCTATAGGGTTATGGGGCTATAGGGCTATCGGGCTATAGGGCTATAGGGCTATAGGGATAAAGGGCTATTGGTCTATGTGGCTATAGGGTTATAGGGCTATGTGACTATAGGGCTAGAAGGCGATAGAGCACCCGGGTCCCTGGGCACCCGGGCACCCCTGGGCACCTCCGGGCACCCCAAGGCCCCTCCAGGCACCCCCGGGCACCCGGGCACCCCCGGGCACGCCCGGGCACCCGGGCACCCGGCCACCCCCGGGCACCCGGGCACACCCGGGCGTGCGGCGAAAATCGGCGGCAAACCGAACCTAACCATATGAATCCGCTAGGACCCCTACAGAGGCAACCTCTGATTGGAGAATTTGTTGAATTGATACGTTGAAATGGAAATGTGATAAATTCGATCAATGACGGCGGCCCCCCCGGCGGGGACCACGGGCCAGGCCCGGGCGGAGCTCAATGATTCAACACAAATGCAATTCGTCGAAAGGAGCGAATTACAACAATTGAATAGAAGTAACTCTCGCGCCTAGACCGGCGGCAGCCTGACCAGCGAGATGGCGATTGGCTAAACTGTTTGAGTTAGTTAAATGCACCAAATCAGTTCAGTGAGTGGGCCATTTGAACTGATAGAGATAAAACCTAATAAGTGTCCTTTCGTATACAAGCGACTGAGCTGAACTAAGTGCACTGCTTTACTTAATCTTCTTAATTCACGTAATTCAATCAATTTCGGCGGCCCCTGGCGGGGGCAACGGCCAAGCCCAGGCGAAGATTAATTAATTCAACTACTCAATTCATCCGTGGATATGAAAGAAGTTGGGCTATCTGTCGCGCCCAAGCCGGCTGCGGCCTGTCCAGGGGGGGCCCGAACTATTTCACGTAATCCAAATAGATGAATCAATTAGTGGCGGTGGTTTAGCGATATAATGTAAATAGGTCAGGTGCACGCGGGAAGCTCATTCAACACATTGGATGTACAAAATTAAACGCATTGCTTAATTGCACGACTTCAATACACATGGAAATATTGAAGTAGCCGTATCGGCTGATTGAATGAACGAGCCTTTGCAACTCGATAAATTTAATGCATAGGACTGGCTTTGGCGGTCCCCCCGGCAAGAACAACGAACAGGTACCAAACGAATGTCATTATTTCGCGGGGGGGAATTGAAAACGCACATTAACTGTTGCGTCCAAAACGGCCGCGGCTGAATTAATCAGAGTAACGGAATTAAGCAGACTGGCTAGACGGACTGAATGAATTAATGATGTACGTGAATGAAACATGTAAACTGGAATGAAACTGTAAGAGAACTGACTGAACCTATTCCGTTCTATTAACCAGATTAACCCATTACATGAACTGCGTCCCCCCCGGCGGGGACAGCGGTCTGGCCCAGGCGGGGCTCAATTAACTTGATGAATCTGACTCATCCGTGAGTAAAAATACTCTTTTTAGACATATGGGGGGGAAAAAAACTATACGAATTCTCGCGCCCAAGCTGACCGCGGTCTGGCCAGGGGGGGCAGACTTGAATAAATTCGATGCACCGAAATAACGCGTTAGTTAAATGAACTGAATGAATTAGATTAATCGGTTGGTGCATTTGATTTCGGCAGCTTTCCTGGCGAAAGAAACGGCCAGGCCCAGGCGGAGCTCAGCCAGCATAGCTTATGTGGTTCATCCGTAACTCGTTAAGTATATAAATGAAACGAACTGTCGCGCTTAAGTTGGTTGCGGCTTGGCCAGGGCCTGGCCAGGGGGGGGCAGAATTAGTTGAACGAATTAAACCCATCGAGCACATGAAGTGCACAGTCAAAGTACTGGCTTAACTTGACAAGTTAATGTAAGTGACCCTGGTAGATGAAGTAGACAAGTTGACAAATTGAATCCGTAAAATAATATAATAAAGTCCAATTCTATGTGTTAATGAACTTTGATTTCCATTGAACCATTCTGGCGGCCCCCATGGCGGGGACAACGACAAGGCCCCAGGTCAAGGCACATGTTAAAAACGAGACCCATTAACCGAATTAACTCCGGCAGCCTCCCTGGCGGGAACAACGGCCAGGTTCAGGCGGAGCGCAGTTAATCTAATGAATTAACCCGTGGGGCTTGCTGAATTGAACCCGCCACCGTGCCTCTGGCAGTGGAGCGCCCCAAGGTTCACAGCTGTGCTGCTGCTGCAGCCAGGATCGTAAATTCCAGTTTCCCAGGCGCTCTTTGGCGCTCCTGGGGTGTTCCGCATGACCTCCAGGACGGCTGCAACGCCCCAAACGACCCGCAGACTTTCGAAGAGCTCCCCACTGAGCGCCCAAGACGGTCAAGGAGCGCCTCTAGACGGCCCAAGATGGCCCCAAGACGGCCAAAGGGGCCTCCAAGACGCCCCTAGAAGCCTCCAAAAGGCTTCCAAGAGGCCTCCCAAGAGGGCTCCAGGAGGCAAAAATCAAGTGTTCCGTTCGTTTTTGAAGGTTTTTGGGGTACTCGCGTTTTCGGCTTCCCGATGCTCCAAGAAGACCCAAGAGGCCTCCAAGATCGCCCCAGGACAAACAAAGAGGCCCCCAAGACGGCCCCAAGACAGCCCAAGAGGGCCCCAAGACGCTGCAAAAGGCCTCCAAGACGGCCCAAGAGGCCCCCCAAAACAGCTCCCGCGGGGGGGCCCAGACAGGGTCCCCCTAACGGACATTCCGAGCCCGCGGCACCGAGAAGCCCCCAGGAGGCCCCACGAGGCCCCCACGAGGTCCCCAAGAGGGCCAAGGAGGCCCCCAAGAGGACCCTGAGAGGCAAACATCCCAACGAACAACCCAGAGGCCTATGACCCACACCCCGAAGTTAAAGAACTGTCGCGCTCAATCCGGCCGCGGCCTTGCCAGGAGGAGGGGCATAAATTAGTCAAACTAGTTAGATAAATTAATTAAATTCATTTGAAGCGCATTAATTTAACTGAATGCATGACATGAATGGCTTGAGTCTAACATGTAACTGGAAAGTGCAAGTCAATTAGTTAACGATCGTGTGCCAGTGTGAGCGAGATCCGCCGCAACGGCTTGGAGATCAGAGTTGCGAGGATGTGCCAGGCGAAGCACTTGAACCATCCAAATCCTGGCGAATTTAGAAATGATGGCTTATAGGATTACAGCTTGGGAACTTACCGTTGGCTGCGTGGCCGGTCTGACGTAATTGCCTTTGTGAATGTGCCATTGGTGCAGGTCGTGGTCAGAGTGCAGTTTCGGGCGTAGGCTCAATACCATGAGACCTCTGTGGCGTGGCTCATATCTGCTGGCAAACGTACCACAAGACCAAGAACCAGACTGACCTAACATGGCCCGCGCAAACGCAGACGGACCCAATACCAGCTTGACGCAAGATAACCAAAACAAACGGACCAAAGGGCCCAAAACCGGACGCAACCTGGCCAAAGCAAACATACCAAAGGTCCCAAAACCGGTTCGACGCAACATGGCCACTAGAAACGTACCAAAGGACCCCAAACCCAGCCTGACGCAACATAGCCAAAGCAAACGTGCCAGAGGACCCAAAGCCAGCCTCACACATAATGGCCAAAGCAAAATGACCAATGGGCCCGAAACCGGCCTGACGCAAGCATTGCCCCAGCAAACGTATCAGAAGGGCCCGAAACCAGCCTCACGCAACATGGCCAATGCAAACGTACCAAAAAGCCCAAGCCAAGCCTGACGCAAGCATGCCCCACGCAAACGGATCCAAGACCAGCCTGACGCAGCATGGCCAGAGCAAACGTACCAACGGACCCAAAACCAGCGTGACACATCAAGGCCGAAGCAAACGTACCACAAGGCCAAGAACCAAGCCTGACGCAAGCATGCCGCACGCAAACGTACAAAAGGGCCATGAACTAGCCTGACGCAACATGGCCGAAGCAAACGTACCAAAGGGCAACAAAACAGCCTGGCGCAACATAGCCAACGCGAACGTGCCAAAAGGCCCAAAACCAGCTTGGCGCAACGATGACCCACGCAAACGTACCAGATGTCAAAGAAACAGCCTGACGCAACATGGCCCAGGTACGCAAACCGAAGGGCAAACACACAAGCCTGACGAACGCATGTCCCAAGCAAGCGTATCCAAGCAGTGGGGGGGGAACATAAGATACGAAACAATAGCTTCACACAACATTGCCCAAACAAACTTAACACCGTTTGCTAGCTGTCCGAGCGTAGCCCGAATGTAATGTTAGCGAGGTAAGCGCCTTTCTGAGTCCGTCCAGGGCCTCTCCTCACAAGAGCTCCTTCATAATATCTCAATAGCATGTCAGAAGGCCCGTCAGCGCCTCTGAGCTGAGCGGAGGGGGGAAGAAAGGGGGAGAAGGGGAGAAGGGGAATACAGCTGAAGGCGAGGGCAGGTGGGGGGAGGGGGCAGACGCAGCTATTCAGGTCCCCAAGCCTGGTCAGCAGGCCAGTCAGCTTCTCGCGGACATTCTTCTGCTCGGTGTCCAGGTCTGGGAGACCCTCGAGGAAGAGGAGGAGGAGGGCCTCCTCCCTGCTCCTGCTACTCCTCCTCCTCCTCCTCCTCTTCCTCCTCCTCCTCCTCCTCCTCCTCCTCCTCCAATAGTCCGTAGCCATTTTAGCTCAACCACGGTCGCGAGCGACAAGAAAGGGGAGTGTCAGCAGATGTGATAGAGTCGGAACCTACAATGCTCTTGGACAGCCATTTGATTCACAGAAGCTTGGCACCCATGCAGGTATATGTCTCTCCATACGTACAGGTTCTGGGTCCACTCATGCAGAAGCCATTCATGGGCGCGCGGATGTTGAGCGCTCGCTCCTGCTATTCGCTTTCGAGCATTTGGAGACGCAGCACCTCTTCTTGCTCGCGGTCGCCGTCGATGTCAGAAGTGTGACGTCTGATGTCACATTGTCATGGTCACACTTCCACCTCCATTTCCTCCTTCTCCTCCTCCTCCTCTTCCTCCTCCTCCTCCTCATCCTCGTCCATCCGTGTTCCTTATGGATACCTCTTCCGTGTCGCACCCCGAGACGTGACGGTAAAGCCAGGCGGGCATTGTGCCTGAGAGTTTCTCGCAATTCATGATCCTGAAGCTCGAAATTGGCACCAGCTTCACGGATGGAGGGCGGGTTTGCAAAATGTGGCCCTCGCCTTAGCGCCGCGCACAGTCGTCTTGAACTACTCCAATAATTTCACGGATGGAGGGCGGGTCGTTTTCATCATGTAGCTCTCGCCTTAGCGCCACGCACATTCGCCGTAAAAGTGTGCAAAGGCTTCGCGGATGGAGGACATGCCGTTTTCAAAATGTGGATCTCGCCTTAGCGCCGCGCGCATTCGTCTCAGAAGATTGCACGGGTTTCACCAATTGAGGGCGGATCCTTTTCAAAATGTTGCTCTCGCCTTAGCGCCGCACACATTCGTATTCAAAGCATGTAACAAAATCAAAGGTTCTGATGGCTGACGTCCCAGAAATTGTATTCTGTCACGATGTAGGACTGTCAAGGCGCAACCGTCACGCTGATTCGCGGTGTTGAAATCCCATGATGGGTGTTCTGGCACGGCTTGAAGCCGTGAGGACGTAACTTTAATGTTGATTCGCTGCATTGAAGTTCCCAGAATAGTTTCGACACGGTTGGTGAGTACGTATCTAACGGTTGTATTCCAACGGCGCACTTCCCGCAGTGAAGTGAATCCTTGTAGAGGAAGGGTTCAGTGAAACATCGCTGATGCGACTTGGGATTACACTTGTCCTCCCTCATCCTCCTCGTCCTCCTCCTCCTCATTATCCTCCTCCTCCTCCTGCGCCTTCTCCTCCTCCTCCTCCTCCTCCTCCTCCTCCTCCTCGTCCTCCCCCTCCTCATCATCATCCCTCTCCTCCTCCTGATTCCCTCCACCTCCTCCTCCTTCTCCTCCTTCTCCTCCTCCTCCTCCTCATCCGCGTCCGCCTCCGCCTCCTCCTCCTCATCCTCCACCTCCTCCTCCGCCTCCGCCTCCGCCTCCTCCTCCTTCTCCTCCTCCTCCTCCACCTCCTCCTCCTCCCTCTCCTCTGTCTTATTCCTCCCTCCCCCTCTTCCCCATTCCTCCCCTCCTGCTCTGTCCTGGAGGTCACAGAGGTGCCGGTTGTTAGTCCACGGCGGCAGGGCGCAGTTCGAGCGGACGTTGCCAGCGTAGTGGTGGAACTCCTCTAGAGGAGCCCACGGACACAGAAATAAATACACACACTAATCCCAGGATCCCCATGATTTTCCATATCTATATATATATATATATATATATTCTGGGTTTTCGTCTTCCCCCCCACTTCCCATATTTTCCCATATTTTCCTGGGAATCCACGATTTATTGTGTCTGTGTTTTTTTCCCCTCCTGATCCTCGGGCTTGTAGGACGTACCCCCATCCCAGAAGTGCCTATCGCCGAACTGCGTGCCGTCCCAGCCCCGGCACTGCAGGTTGCTTCCAAGCTTCTCGGAATTATTGCACTTAAATGGTTCGTCGCTGTTGTTGCTCTCTGGCCAAACCATCACCTTGCTGGCCATGTGGTTGATGACAGCATCAACCATGATTGACACTCCAGCATCTCGGCAAATCCTGACCATGTCGATGAACTCCTCTTCGGTACCCGAACGAGATTCCAACTTGTAAGACACTGGCTGATAGCGGGTGAACCACGGCGAGCCCAGGACGTGCTCAAAGGGAGGGGACACTTGGACGGCATCGAATCCAGCGGGTCCTAAGTATGTGGTGCACTCCTTGGCAATGTCGGGCCAGCGCCACTCGAAGAGGTGTACAACGACGAGGTTCTGGCCGAAGAGGCTGCAGTACCGCGAGTACACGTCTCGGTCGCCCCGCACCAGTCCACCATCGGCCTGCACCAGTCGCTCCTTTGACGCGCACGCCAGCACGCGGCAGGTGCCGACGCCTGTACCGACATCCCGCAGCTCGAACGTGTCTCCGCTTTCCTTTTTCATCATTTGGTGGCACCTAAGCTTGGCGGTCGTGCTCTGGCCGAACTCGTTCAGGCCAAAGTCTGCGTGCGATCTCGTGGCCAGCTGGTGGCAGCCCGCGCCGACCCACTGCTCCGGCAGCTGGTGGCACCTGCGCACGGGGTGGAATGGCAAGGGCGCGTCCAGCCACAGGTACGCCGTCTGGGCCAGCCAAGCCAAGAGGCCACCGCCGATGGCGGCGGCGAGAAGGATAGGAGGCCTGGCCGCGAAGGACCGCGGCCTGCAGACGTTGCTGCAGCACGTCGCCTCGCGGAGGCGGTGCCGCGCGCTCCCCATGTCGCCGTGGATGAAAGGCGACGCCGCGAGCTGGGCGACGTACTGCGCCACGCCCAGCGGCACCACGCACGCGGTGACCGCCGTTGCCAGCTCCTCCTGTCGGGGAGACGTAAGACCTGGGTACAGGGGACTCGGAAATCCCCGACGAGGTCGTCAAAAAAATGACGAGGCCGAGCCTGCATTTTGACGAGGCCTCCCGCTGCAGACATCCCACGAAACTCCTCCTCGTCAAAATCCGAGTCGCGGTCGTCAAAAAAAAATGGCGAACCCGAGTCCCGGCAAACCCGGGTCTTACGCTTCCCCGATCCTGGTTGCGCGTCAGGAACGAGACCGAGTACTGCCGGGCGATGTACTCGCAGACGATGGGCGACAGGAAGGTGCAGAACTGCGAGGCACACAGCGTCACGGTGCAGTAGCTCAGGAGCCGCCATCTGCTGCCGAGGATGCGGATTTTTGCCGCCCAGATAGCAGATGACTGCATGCCCTGCAGCAGGAGCGTGAACGCGCACACAACCATCGCCCCGTAAGAGCGGCCGCGGTACTCGAAGGAGGACACTTCCATCTGACAGAATGCCGCCAGCAAGCTCGGAGGCAGCAAAAAGACGGTGACGCTGATCAGCAAGGAGAAGCCGTGCACCGAGGCCAGACTCAACGCCTTTGCCCAGAGCATGACACCGACCGCCAGCACCACTGCGAGAACGGCGCTGACCTCTGGAGAGCGCCATAGCAACACTACAGAAATGGTTGGATTTCCTGCGATGAGCGGCCCAGGAGACTACAAAACGCATAACTTGCCACTCAGACATTCAAACATGTTGGTTCCGAAGGCAGCTCACCATCCAGCATTCCCAGAGCAGATGGACAATCGGGAAACGCGTGACTGCCTGCCGGCGGACACGGCACGCGCACGGCACGGCACGCATGCACGAAACGACACGGGACGGCACTCGGGCGCCGCATGTTTCGCAGCACCCTGGGTTCCAGAAGCGCGCTCTTGCAATACACATGGGGCAAACATCGCATTCGCTGGTTAGGGAACTACAGACACAAGTGGTTGCTCAACCTTACACCGGCACATAGGGAGCAATACCAGCGCCGCACGATAGAGGCACATGGCGCGCACAGCACAGCAGGGTAACCTTCTCGCATCCTGAGAACCTGGCACGGCACGGCACGGCAGGGCCAATGTTCGCGGCGCGGCGCGGGACAGCCCAGCAACTTTCTTGCATTACGAGCACCAGCCACGACACTGCACAGCAACTTGTTCAACTTGTTCAACTGTTCAACCTTCTCGAAACCCAGCGCGGCACGACACAGCACGGCGTCAAATACGTAGCTTACGACAAACTAGGTCCGATCTCCATCCCCCATCGAGGCTGGGGTAATCCACTCGCCCCCGAACACTTCATTGTCAGATTAATGATCGCCCACTTTAGGTATCACAAAGTATCATCCCAGCCCAACAAGCTAGTATCAACACACCCACACACGCACCTCATATCCTGTAACATCTACTGTGCGGTGCACATGCGTTGATCTAAGAAGCGAGTTTTGTAACGACCCCTGTCAACTAATACCCTGCGGGCGGCTACATGCGCGTGCCCAGCTCGCGCATGTCAAGATCATTCGAACACCAGCGGTTGTCTAACAGTTTCAAGGCATGGATATTGCAAACCATCACACATCCAATGGCTGTCCAACAGATGTACAAGATTTCTGCGCGCACACACTTCGGAACCATTAGAACATCATGAGAGGTTGGCCATTCTGTCGAATACAAAGCATGCGGGCCCACCTTTCGCGCGCACATGTCGAATACATCAGGTCACATGCGCGCGTCTCTGCGCACGCAAATTTAAAGCCATCCACGACCACTGGTCTTCTACGCATATCAATACAGGTGTGTTCCTATAGCAAATATTTCAGAATTTCTGCGCGCAGGAACTTCCGCATCATTCTCACTGGCGCTATCGCCGCCATCATCGCCAGCGTCATCACTGCCGTCATCATCATCGTCATCATCACCAAACACCATCACCAGTGTCGTCCTCGCCCACACCGTCGCAATCAACGTCGTCATAGGCCATTGTCGTTGCCGTTGACGTCGCCCTCGTCTCCACAGCCACCGCCATCACCATAATCACCATCATCATCACAACCACTACCACCGTCATCGTTATCATCCTCATCACCACCGCCACCACCATCATCATAATCATCATCGCGGTCGTCGGCAATGTCGCCGTCATCAGCATTACTCGCCCGCCCGGGTCATGGATCTGCAAGAGCAAGACCCGCGCGTCATTCCGCCTTTTGAAGTTAACCAACAAGCTGCGACGGGTAACTACGTTCACGGCCGTTTCAGTGTTGCACTCAACTTGCTGGTGGAGGGTGGGATGCTAGCTCGAGCATGGGAGGTGGTCACGCGCGGGGGCCCACAAGTGACTGCACCACGCAGATTGCACCGCATCGAATGCACCCGGCCCGAGAGATTGTCCTCTTGAGCCCGAGACGTCGGAAGCGCCGTACCGTTCAAATGAACGGATGTATGTTGCGTTCGCCTCGAATCGGGGCGTGTCACATGTTATGGGGGCCCGCTGTGGCCTTCGAGCAGCCGTACGTTATGGGAGGAGCTTGTGTGGTGGCCAGGCACGCTGTGGCACTCGAGCACCCACATGTGATGGGAAGGGTAGGGGGAGGTGGCTGGGCCCGCTGTGGCGCTCGAGCTTCCGACCTTGACACTTTGCTTGCCTTCGTCCACCTTGTCCTCCCTCATCTTTCTCTTTTTCCTACTCGTCCTCCTCCTTCGTTCTCCTCTTCATCCCGCCTTCTCCCCCCCGTTCCTACCTCCTCCCTCCGCCTCCCCACTCCTCCTCCTCCTCCTCCTTCTCCTCCTCCTCCTCCTTCTGCTCCTCCTCCTCCTCCTCCTTCTCCTCCTCGTCTCCTCCTCCTCCTCTCCTCCTTCTCCTCGTCCTTCTCCTCCTCTTCCTCCTCCTCCTCCTCATGTTCCCTCCTCCCTCCGTGCCCTTCCTCCCTCATCTGTCCTCCTATATTACCCTCCAACCTCTGTCCCGCATCTCTCCTCCTCTCCCCTCCCTTCGCCTCCTCCCTCATCCCGTCTCGTCAGCCTAGGAAAACCCTTGCCCCGTAGAATCATAGTATTGGTCTGCAGAGCCAAAGCACCGCGGAAAGCATGATGCATCACATGCAATGCCCCGTGGATCACACTTCCGGTGGGTCCGGGAAATTACTTAATATTATGAATTTCCTCACATGAAATAAACGGAACCATTGGTTTTTCATACACTGGGAAAGTGGATCCGCGCAGCACAGAAATAGGATCCACGAAACTGTGAGACATCCGGAAAGGGATCCAATTGGATCCATTGGTACTGTCGTATTTGAAACCCAAGAGGAACAGACCTGCGGCCTGGAGGTGTAGAAACCATATCGAGAAAGTAAGAACCCACTGGGGTTCACGCTGGCGAACATACCTCTCGAATACAAATGTGCATACAGAAGCTGTACGTCCACTGGCTGATGGAGTCCGGCACGACCCGCTCACGCAAACACTCTGTGTGCGCGTGTGCGCGTGCATGTGGCGAAAGCGCGTGCGCTTGTGTGCGGGTCAAGGAAGGTTGCCTGGAGTGCGCGTGTAAGCGTCGCAGGCGAGGCAAGGAAGCCACACGGCCGTCTGGTAGTCACGCCCGACGAGCAAAGAAGGACGAACGTACCGACTGCGCGACACACCCGTGACGGCAAGCGAACGGGTCTTGGCATCAGAAGAATCGCCCTGGACCTCCGCCAGCTCCTCGGCCTGCCAGCCGTTGTCGAGCCACCAGCTGGCATAGCTGAGCGACGGGAACGCCATGAGGCTGCCTATGCACTCCGACAGCGCGAGGCAGACAAAGGACCTAGAGGCTTCCCACATGGGGTCCGAGTAGACGGGGTCGGAGGTTCGAGCCGTATCGGCGATGCATCGCTGATGCATCAGCGATACATCGGCGCTTTCGGCGTGAAGAACATCGGGCCCCACATCGAGCCGCATCGGGGATGCAGCGGCAATGCGGAGCGATCCTCCAACCCCATCTGCTCGATGATCCTCGGAACGTGTGCCGAAACCAGCATGTGCTTGCCCGCCGAAAACCTTCAATGCGACGCAAGCGGTGCCATGAAGGCCGACACAGAGCTGAACAGGAGGAGCACACACATTGGGCTGTTACACATCCTGAGGATCATCGATCTGCCTGGACCCCGTTTGAGAGGTCTACAGAACCGCTTGTGAAAGATGAGCCCGAGGTCCCAGGCTGGAAACCTGTCCTCCCTGTAAGGGCGAGGCGCGAAGAGGCACAAGGCGCCTGCCGCCCCGGCGGAGAAGGCCACGCCGATGCCGAGGGGCGCGGCCAGGAGCAGAACCCGGGCGGGCAGAGGGTCCTCCTTGGTGCCGGGCACGCCGTCTGGCGACGCCAAGTAGACGAACGCGGTGGCAAGCCAGGACACGCAGTACCGCACCGTTTCCATGCGGCCCATGCGGAGAGCTGCCTGGCTGACGTCCGCCCGGATCGACATCATGAAGTTGAAGACGACGAAGAGCATAGAGGCCCCAGCGATGAAGCCGTGCAGAAACATCAGCGCCACGGCTCCGTAGACGTTCGGAGGCACAGGCAGGAAGCCGACCAGCAGCAGCAGCTGCCCCAGCATCGCCCCCGCGAGGGCCCAGCGCGGTTCCGTCTTCTTGCAGAGCCATGCCCACCAGGGCAGGCCGATGCACATCGCCAGGGCGTTGGTGCAGAAGAGGACCAGTCGCAACAACGATGGATCCATCGGGCCATCGACCGCGGCCTTCACGTTGCCGGGGAACCAGCCTGGGATCCAGCTCGACTGAGAGCGCAGACCCCACTCGGAGGCCATGGTGAACGTGAGCACCTCCCCCAAGGGCGCCATGACGTAGCCGCAAGCCACCACCCAGTGGATACGATGCATTCCAAGAGTGGTCTGCAGCAGCCACTTGGACACAGCGGACGTCTCGCGGCCCTCGTCCACCTCGCAGCCCACCGCCTCGAGGATCTGGTCGATACCGTCGAGGTGCATCTTCGAAGCCATGGCCACCTGCAGCTCCTCCTCGGACAGCTCCTGCGTCAAGAACTCCGCGCCCGCCCCGACGGCCGCCGCGGCCCCCGCCCCGGCTGCGCTGCCGAAGTTGCCTGGGCCGCTGCCGAAGGTGCCCAAGCCGCTGCCGAAGGTGCCCAGGCCGCCGCTGGCTTCCTCGGGAGCACATGAAAGAGCACAGCATGATTCTTCTGAGTTCCGCGCGGATTTCTTGAATCGGCGCTGGAGGCGCCGCTAGAGAAGCCCGGCGCCCATCCAAGAGGTCCGCGCGGAGCTCCGAGAGTGTACGTTCGTGCGGCTATGGTTTCCGAGTGGCGACATCCGAACCTTACCCCACCAGTCATCAACTCTCATGAATCGATGGGAGGCAGGGGTACGGTTCGGATTTCGCCATGTGCTCGACGAACTCCGAGCCCTCACCCCCGCCGCCCATCGCGTTGCCAGAGTCGTTGATCAGCGGGGGCAGGGCTCGGGCTCTGCCGCCAACTCGACGCCTCGTCTTCGAAGCTTCCACTGAACCTGGGGAATTCCGAGTCCTGGTTCTTTTTTCTGCGCCCCCCGCCCTCGGCGGCCCTCGCGCGGGGTTCCCGCGCGAAGGCCGCCGAGGGCGGGAGACGCGGATGCAGGCGCCCAAAATGATCCAAACCGATTCTCGGAGCACCTCGGATAGCTCAAGGCTGCCCCCGAAACGCCGCAACGCGTCCCAGGACTGCCCAGCAGATTGCAACCTATGCCTCCGCAGTCCACCCTGGGGACTGTGCGACCCACCTCCCTCGGGACCTCTGCTTGGGTCCGTTTCCAACGCTCAATGCGCAGGGGGTTGTCACTCCACGCCCCCGGGACCTCTGCCTGGGGCAGTTGCCCCACGATCTGGGCGCGCAGTTCCACCCGCAGGGCTGCGCATTCCACCCCCTTGCGCGCCCTGAGCCCCGCGCCTTCGGAGAAGCGCGCCGAGGAGGTGCGCTGGGAGTGTGTGCCAGGGGCGTGCACCAGGAGAGTCTACCGCAGAGGGGGGGGGCTCCAGGGGGATGCCAGGGGCTCGCCGGAGAGCGTGCCAAGGGGGGGGGGGGCAGAGGGGTGTGCGACGGGGGGGGGAGTGCCAGCGGGATGGCGCCAAGGGGGCGCGCTGGAAGGGGGCGCGCCGGGCCGACGAGGCAGCAGGAGCCCGTGGAACGGAGCTGACCCCCAGGGCCGCACGCGCACACCACGGGCGAAATGGCAGGCGGAGTTGCGGGGCAAACTCCAGTTCGCCGTTGTAGGCTCCCGCTCGACTGCTGCAATTCCAGGGTGCAGTTCCGCCTGCACGGGGCCCAAACATATACACCACCACCACCACCACCACCACCACCACCACCACCACCACCACCACCACCACCACCACCACCACCTCCCTCACCCCCATCCCTCCCAGGAGAGAGGAAAGGAGTAGGAGAGTCGAGGAGGGAGGAGGAATCGACGTAGTGGTGGCGTATATTATTTGAGCCCGCGGCTTAAACTCCCGGTCACAGTTCCACCCAGGGCCCCCGGAGGTTCCGAGAGGTCCCCACGTCTGTCCGGACGGGCTCTGCACCGCGCGAGGGCGGGGCCCGCAGGGGGTGCCACGGGAGGGGGCGCGCGCGCGCACGAGCTGTAAGCCGGGCACGTCCCCCCACAGGCCGACTGGGACGAAAAATAACAAGTTTCCGAAAAAAATCCAACTAATTTCCCCCCCCCAAAAAAAAAACATTATTTTAAAATATGAAAACCACAAAAAAAAAGTCCCCTGAGTATATGTTTCTATGTTTGCTTGTTCCTCCTGTGGAGAGACGGAGAGACACGCCCGACTTAGCACTAGCTGTAAAAATCTCGGCGATCCGTGGGTCTCCCGGTGGCTGGCTGCCGCGGAAATTGCGCGGAAGCGGCCAGCCAGCTGGCGCACGGATGGCTACGGGAGGACCGGTCCACAAAAGAAGGGTGCAGGTTGGCTCCGGTTATAGTTCCAAGTGGCCCCAAGACCACCACAATGCAACTCAATGAGGCCTCCCCTCCAATACGGCACGAGGTAAAACAACAGCGGCATGCAGAGACTGCCAAAATATCAGCCATGTGTAACCAAAAACAGAAACAACGGAGGCACGGGGAAAAAGGGCGGGGGAGGCCCGTGACGAGAAGGGACGAGGCGGAGAGGGCGAAGGGTAAAAGGAATATGGTAGGAGAAGGTGAAAAGGGGAAAATAAACAAAACGAAGAACAAAAAAAAACTCCCATCATCTCCGACGCCGAGCCCCTCCCACCAATCTTACGAACGAGGCAGCTGCCAAATGCTGGCAAGAGTGGGCACCGTTCCGACGGCACGCGGGCCTTTGCCCCGCGCCTGTATGTGGATAGCCAGACATCCCCAGCACATCCTTCGATTTTTTCTGTCGTAGGTCCCAGAGATGAGACTCCGTCGTCCACCGTCCATCGTCCATCGTCCGTCGTCGTCGTCGTCGTCGGGCGGGGAAGTAGGAGAAGGAGGTAGATGGTGATGAGTTGGCAGGAGGGAGGAGGGAAGAGGGAGGAGGGAGGAGGGAGGAGGGAGGAGGAGGGGGAAAAGGAGGAGGAGGAGGAGGAGGAGGAGGAGGGAGGAGGGAGGGGGAGGAGGAAGGAGGAAGGAGTGAGGAGGGAGGAGGCAAGAGGAAGGAGGAAGGAGGAAGGAAGGAGGAGGAGGAGGAGGAGGAGGAGGAGAGATGAGGAGCAGGAGGAGGAGGAGGAGGAGGAGACTCCTGCGACGCCATAGTGCTGACCCTCACCGGCGAGCCGTCCTGCCCACTGGGCGCCCGCGGCGCGCTCGGCGGCGCCCGCGGCGCCCACGCCGCGGGCGGCGGCAGCTCGGACCTCGGCGGGGCCGCGCCCTGCTCGGCCACGCGCAGCTCGGAGCCGCCGTGCTCGGGGTCCGGCGGAGGCGCTGAGGGCTCCCCGGCGCGGGCCGCAAGCACCTCCCATCTGGACGCCCGAAGAGATGGGTACGGGAAAAATGGGCACAATGCCCAACAGCATAGATCGTCCCAAACTAGCAGCGGCCGCGGTGGACAGGCGGCCTCCTGTCTCAAATGGACACAGGCCGCGGCGGCGCGGACAGCGAGTCCTGTTCAAAATGAACAGGAATTGTTGTTGGGCATTGTTGAGCATTGTACCCATTCTTTCCTTACCCATGTCGATCGTCCCGATCCCACAGGAACAAATCACGGCAAGTATTGTCGTCGCGCCGGCTGTTCTCAACGCGCCCGAGCAAACGAAGCCGACGCCGCGGCAGACCCGCGGCATCATGCCTTGCGTCAGAGGCGGAATTTGCACTGGTGGCCCAGGCGCCCTCACCCAAGACGAGAGGCCGCACGTCGGAAGAAACGGCGCGGCGACCATCTACGCACAACCTGTCGGAGGCTCGCGCGGACATCTTGAATTGGCACTGGGCCCTCCTCCCTGGCACGCGGAGCGCGCCAAGTGAGGGGGTCCCGGCGCCCATCCGCGCACTCCGCGCGGTCCTCCGAAAGCGCATGCTTATGCAAGTTTGTTCTTCCTCGGTTCCAGCACCTCGTCGTAAAGGAACCGTAGGCGCTGCTGCCACGCCTCGCGCGCAGGAGGAAGCAGAAGAGGGTCAGGAGACAGGAGGGAGGGGGAGAGGCAAGACAGGTGCGCTCGTGCCACGCAGAACATCCTGCCCCTCCCGCCCATCCCTTCACACTGCGCTGACGTATTGTCCATCCGCCCGCTGAGTCGTCCCAGGGGACCTTGATCCCCGAAATGGCTCCATCGCGTGGTGCGCAATCAGAAATAGGAGTGCAGATGAGCAGGAGAATGAAGAGGATGAAGAGGATGAGGAAAAGAATGAGGAAGGAGAAGAGGAGGATCGTCGGCAGCTGGAGCAGGATGAGTAATGAGGCAGGAAGACCAGGGGGGAGGCGGAGGAGAGAAAAAGATGGGGGCGGCAACGACGAGGAAGGAACCGGATCCTGAGATGTGGCCCGCGCAGGGGCGAAAGCGTCGATCCTGAGACAAGATCGAGGCTGCAAAGGGAGCACAATATGTTTGAAGAACCGAGCGCGTCCCGATCGAATAGAAACGTATGAAGCATCAAGTCCGCTGGCCCCACTGTGGGGCCATCAGGCTGCGTGGCGGAGGTGTTCTGCCTCCTGCACCTGTACCAGTTGCCAGTTTCCAATGATATTGTACTTGCTTATGTTTCCTATCGCATGAGATTCGCATCCCCGAGGCCAGAATCCATCATGAACTACCCCAGGTTCACGTTCCCGAGGCCAGAATCCGATTCAAATTAAACCAGGCTCGCGCTCCCGAGGTCACGATGCTCTGCAAACTGCACCAGATTCGCGCTGTCGAAAACAGTTGTTTATAGCTTACACCAGGCTCGCGCTCCCGAGGCCAGAACCCCTCGTACAGTATGCGTGGCTCGCGCTTCCGAAGCCAAAACACCTATAAAAGTACACCAGAGTCGGGTCCCCGAAGCCAGATTCCCTCGTACAGTATGACACAGTCGTGCTCCCGAGGCCAGAAAACCTTGCAAATTGCTCCAGGCTCGCGCTCCCGAGGCCACAAGCCATGACAAAGTACGCCAGATTCGTGATCCCTAAAGGCAGAGTCGAGCGTCAATTACGCCAGATTCGCGCGGGGAGCACTCCAAACATATCTCTATATGGCTTGCTGATTCGTCTCTATATGGCTTGCTGATTCGTCTCCGTCCCCGCATGATGTCCCCAGATGTATTCAAGACGGCGCCCAGATACCCCGACGCGGCTCTGAGATCTCCCATTATGATAAAGAGGGGGCCGAAGGCAGAGAGCGAAGCCCTTACGGATAGGCAGAGAGCGAAGCCCTTACGGATAGGAACTTGCTGCTCGTGGAAGCAATACGCAGGGGATTGGCTGGAGCAGTTCACCTGATGATCAGAGTGGAGGGAAGAGAGGAGAGCAGAACTCCTCACGAGTAGTGACACGAGGGGAAAGAGGAGGCGCAGTCGCTTCGGCTGGGCCTCGAGTGGAAAGGCGCACTGAACCGCCGCGTCGGACATCGCGCGGAGCTCGTCCTCCGAGGCGTTCATGGCCAGCGTCAGAGCCCTCCTCCAGGGGCAGAGGAGGTGACCGAGCCGCAGCGAGGCCCTCTCCGCCTCCACCCGACCCGCCCTCCTCCTCCCGACCCCCGCCCCAGCTCCCCTCCCATCCCCGCCGACCGCTGCGCTCCCGGCCCCGATCCCCTGGCCCAGCCCCGCTGCTCCCTCCTCCCTGCTCCCTGTCGAGCGCGGCCTCACTGGCCCCCTTCGGGAAAGCACCGACCCGGGTCAGAGCAAACCCGGATCAGTCAGGCCTTGCAGGATCCTGCACGCTGGCCTGGGCCAGCGCAACCCCTGGCGCTGCAGGATCCTGCAAGATCCGGCGCTCTGACTGACCCCCGCTTGCATTGACCCCCATCTCAAGGCCCCGACGACTTCCGTGACCAGCCCCTTCCAGGGCGGCCCCCATCGCCCCCGAGGCTCCCCGTCGGGCCTCCCGCCTGCGCCTTGGAGCGAGACGAGGAGGTCGTCACCAAAGGGGTCGGTCTGCTGTGGGTCGGTCGGACCGCTCACCCCTTTTGAGCAGGGACCGACCGTCCCGGCATTCCTATAGTCCTACCACGAAATGTTCTTAGAACCAAGAAATGTTCTAAGAACAAAAACAATGTTCTTAGAGCATAAACCCGACGTGTTCAAACAAGACAGATTCCGCCAGAAATGTTCTAAGAAAATTTCGTGGAAACCACAACAGTTTTTTATAACATTGTTTGGTAGGGCTATAGGCGAGCCAGGACGCTTCGCCACTGCTTGACCCTTGCCGCCCCCCCTCGTCCTCAGCTCGCGGCGGAGCCGGCTCAGATTCTCCCTGTTCTGCGCCACGTAGTAGAAGCCGGGCACCTTGCCCAGCCCCCCAGCCTGCGCCCCGACCACCAGGGCGCCGCACCACGCGAACTCCACGTCAACGTACCTGGCATGAACTGGGGGAGGAGGAGGAGGAGGAGGAGGAGGAGGAGGAGGAGGAGGAGGAGGAGGAGGAGGAGGAGGAGGAGGAGAGGAGGAGGAGGAGGAGGAGGAGGAGAAGGAGGAGAGGAGAGAGGAGGAGGAGGAGGAGAGCGAGGAGGAGGAGGGCGTCGTTATCCTGACCAGACCTGGCGAGACTGGGAGGGGGTATGGAGGATCTGGCGTTTGGAACAATTTGGCTTGCGTGTGTGGCTCACTTGGGGCGCCCCTAAAAGCCTCCGGAAGTCCAGGGCTCCTCCAGGGGGCATCAGGGGGCTTCAGGAGACGTCTAGAAGGGAAAAGAGACCCAGACCTCTGGTGTGTGTTTCCCTGCGCGCCAGGAATAGAAAAGTCACCCCTGCCCTACGCACAGAGGCCTCTGGATCCCATCTCGCGCAGCCTGGAGGGACTGCGGCAGGTCAGTAAATATAGTCCAACTCGGTCGCGACCGAAGACAACGGACAACCGAGAGTAAGCAAGACTCTTCCCCTCCCTGGCTGGTGCATTGCGCGGTGGAGCCTCCTTGCCTCAGCATCCACCGCTTCAACGAGCAATAGAGTTCTACTCCGAATGGCCAGTCTGTAGCTTCGCACAGCGGGGTTCAAGCACTGAGAACCTTCCAAAAGGCGGCATGGCACGAGCAGATCAGAGAGCACATTTGCATAGCAAGCAAGGAAGTGAGAGAACACGGGGGTGCCTCTGACTCCACAGGGTCAACCTGCTCATCGGTCGCGACTGCTGCCGTGGGTAGCCTTCAGAACTTACAAGCTCCCTGGCGGGGGTAAAACATGTACATTTTAGAGCGACTCAGAGAATAGATGATTCACTTCCCGAAACGGCTCTCGGAGCTGAACGGCGTCGTGAAATCTCACCAACTTTTTCCAGCACGCGTGCGAATTGCACCAGCGGCCGCAGGAAAGCAAGAAACAAGCAGCCCCCTGGGGCCAGCACTGCCCGACTTCCTGCCTGAGCGCCATGGCCTCTGACGTTTGGATTGGCCCTGCCCCTCCCGGCGCAGTCCCAAGGAGCTTTCTTTTCTGCCACGAGGCTCATCTTTTGTTGAGGATGCAACTACTGGGAGGTCTTCGGAAGAACTCGGGATACTTAAGCCCCATTGAAAAGCTGTCACGCCGGATTGGGCCGCGGATTGAGCGGGAATAAGCCGGATTAAGCGGGAGCAAGCCGGATGAAGCGGGACTAGGCCGCATCAGGCCAGATTTTGGACCAGGGCAAAAACAGAATTTGACGTCCCAGGAGTTGCATCCGAACCTTGTCACGACCCCACGGCCCGAGAATGAGCCTCTTGAGGCCCAGGAGTCCCTCCCCGTGGCGATGGATGCCCGGGCCCCCCCGATACAGCTGAAACGTGACCACAGGAACGTTGGCCAAAAACGTGGGCCCCTTCGACCAGGGCTCGAAGCCCCCATGGAGACACCCCAAAGGAAATAACACTCCAGGCTGGACAGCCCAAACATGGCTGTTCTTGACCCCAATGCCAACTGCACTCGTCCTTGAGGGCACCCGAACGGCTCGTCCCGGGAGGGCATCAGGCAGAAGTCGGCGGCAAAGCGGAGGTCGTCACCGACCTTTTGGAACTCGCACTTGACAAACACCCGCCCTCGGAAACGCTCATCCTCCGCTAGGCCCTGCAGGTGGTGGCCAGCGTAGTGGCCGAAGCCATCTCCGACGGGGCCGACGATGACGAGCTGCGCATCTGGATACTTCTCCAGCAGCCAGGGCGCCACATCGGCCAGCAGGTCCACGCCCTTCTGACGCACGAGCCTCCCCAGCGAAACGAAAAGCTTGGCACTGGGGTCCTCGCGGAGCCCCAGCTGACGCTGGATGGTAGCCTTAGCGGCGGCCCTTCTGGAGTGCAGGTCGTCCCACTCCACGCGTTCGTCCTCGAGCATGGGGTTCTCCAAGCCCTGCACGGTGGGGAGGCGCCAGAGCAGCCCGTAGAGCTGCCGGACCTCCAGCGCGTAGTGGTCAGAGACTGCGCAAGCCCCGACCCCTCCCTGGTGCTCCAGCAGGAAATCAACGGCAGCTTTCAGCATATTAAACCGTCCGTCCAGAACCAGGTGCTTCTGCACCTTATCGGCCGAGAGGTTGAAGATGCTTGCTATGCGGTCCACCTTCACTCCACGAATCTGGTCGGTGCTTATGGTACCCTGGTACTCCGCGTTGTGCAGGACCAGCAGCATGCGCAGGTCGGGATGTTGTGGCAGCGCGTACCACGGTGCCACGGCCGTGTGGAAGTCCGGGCAGTGGAAAATATGCGGCCTGTTTAGCCCGGAGTTCTCGCCCCCACCCCCATGGACACGGTTTTCGTCCTAGGTAATTTTATGATGGTCCAGGGGGGCCCGAAACGGGCACCACAGAAGCCGAAAACGGCCGCCCCGAGCAGCCGAAAACGATCGCCCCCTGGAGGCCGAAACCTTGGACAAGCGCCCAACGTGGTTTTTGTCGAGGCACCCGGAGGACTGGATGCCCCGCTCGTCTTTCCCTCCTCCTCGATATCAGCAAGGAGGACGGTCGACGAGAAACGATACAGTCGGGGCGTTGACCTAAAGAACCATGACTAAGGGACGAGGCCCACTTTTCCATAAGTTAAGCTTTGATTTCCCATCGAATGCATGGGCGACCAGGGGTCGATGCCTCCCCCCATGGGCCGGTCTCCCCCTGCTGCTGCCCCTGATGTACGGGGCTGGGCGTCCCTTCGTGGCGCCCCCGCCTGAGGCGGACGAGCAGCGCTCCCACCGCCTGGTTCCACAGCGAAAAGAACGCGAGGACCTCGGCCCGCGACATCGGGTTGGGGTAGAGGCACCTCTGGGACAAGGCCCGAAAGGCCCGAAGGGTATACGTCGACCGTGACCAGTGCCACCTCCCTCCGCCCACAGGCGTGCCTTGGCCCACGGTGTCCCCAGGATTCCCCGAGGCGGCACTCACGGGCCTCCACGGCACCCAGAGATCACGAAGGGGCTCCAGAATGGAGCAGAAACCTGGGAGCACCTTCAGCCACGGACACCGTTGGCAACCTCTCAACCTGACCGTCCTGAGCCCCGCCGCCCACACCGCGAGGCGGGGACTTCTACGCGAAGCCCCACTACCTGGGGAACCAATGTCCTGGACCCCTCGAAGCGGCAAATCTATATATATATATATATATATATATATATAGATCCGCCGGCCCCCTTGTGGGGCCACCAGGCTGTAGGAGCGAGGTTCGCAGTTTCCTGTACCAGTTGTAGCTTTTAGTTTCCAGTGTTACAGTTCTGCTTCTTGCTGGTTACTGTAACTAGCTGACTTACTGCTGGTTACTGTAACTAGTTGATTGACCGCGCGACGGGGGGGGAGGCCCAAACCGGCTTTTTAGCACCCCCTGGGCGCGTTGTCTGAATTGCTCGGGGGGCTCGAAATCGACACCCCTCACGCAGATCCGCGGGGTCAGGGTCCAAAAACACATGGGATTTGCCACATTTCTGAAATTCGGTGCCACCCCTCACGCAGATCCGCGGGGTCAGGGTCCAAAAACACATGGGATTTGCCACATTTCTGAAATTCGGTGCCACCCCTCACGCAGATCCGCGGGGTCAGGGTCCAAAAACACATGGGATTTGCCACATTTCTGAAATTCGGTGCCACCCCTCACGCAGATCCGCGGGGTCAGGGTCCAAAAACACAAGGGATTTGCCACATTTCTGAAATTCGGTGCCACCCCTCACGCAGATCCGCGGGGTCAGGGTCCAAAAACACAGGGATTTGCCACATTTCTGAAATTCGGTGCCACCCCTCACGCAGATCCGCGGGGTCAGGGTCCAAAAACACAGGGGATTTGCCACATTTCTGAAATTCGGTGCCACCCCTCACGCAGATCCGCGGGGTCAGGGTCCAAAAACACAGGGATTTGCCACATTTCTGAAATTCGGTGCCACCCCTCACGCAGATCCGCGGGGTCAGGGTCCAAAAACACATGGGATTTGCCACATTTCTGAAATTCGGTGCCACCCCTCACGCAGATCCGCGGGGTCAGGGTCCAAAAACACAGGGGATTTGCCACATTTCTGAAATTCGGTGCCACCCTTCACGCACATCCATCGCAAGGCGTGGTAACCCAAACTGCGAGAACTCCCTCGGCCCTTTAATCGCAAGGTGTGGTAACCAAGCCCGTAAACCATACACGTCTTACCAATCGCCAGGTGTGGTAACCCCTCTTGTGATCAGTTGGTTTTGCTGATTGCGAATCGGCTTCGCATGAAGTTTCGATACTGCGTCACGACAGCGCCAAGGCCTCATGACTTAGCTCTTCCATGGCCCATGCTCCGAGAGAGGAGGCCGGCGGCAGGGGGCGAAGCCCTTACGGATATACACACATTTATATACACACACATACATACATACATACATACAAACATACATACATACATACATACGTAAATACATACATACATACATACATGCATGCATACATACATACATACACACCTACATACACACCTACATACATACATACATACATACATACATGCATGCATGCATGCATGCATGCATGCATGCATACATACATACATACATACACACATACATATACACGCATATATACATGCATACATACATGCATGCATACAAACAAATACCTATACATACACATAGCCATGAAAGCATATACATATACACATACATATATATATAACAGATACAGCTACATATACATTTACGTATACGTATACATATACGTATACATGTACACATACCTACACACATACATATACATATATATGTATATACTTATGTGTATATACATATACAGGTCATATACGTATACATGCGCACAAATAGATATATATATATACAACTGTATACACAGATACCTGCCCATATGAATATACATATAAACAAACACAGTCATAAACATATACCTACACATATCCATAGACATGCACATATATATATATATAAATGCACATAGACATGGGGTATGCGTATATATGTACATACACATGTATATGTACATGCATACACGTACACATATACATATAACTAGACGCGTCCATATACACAGGCCAATAAACATACGTATACCGATCCGTATGCATATACACATTTCCATAAGTACGCACATGTACATATGTACGTACACATATATATATATACCGACATCCATGTATGCATATAAATGCATCTAGATAAGTATGTGTGCACAGATATATATATATACATATTTTTTTTTTTTTACCCGTGGCATAGACCTCATGCCTCCGACTGCGCTCCGGCCGGGCGCCTGTGCGGTCCTTGCCGCCCTGCGCAATCCGCTCCTGCAGGCGAACCCCTGAAGGAGGAGGAGGACGAGGAGAGGTACATGCCTACCTACTTACCTATGTGACATGTGTGTGCCGTACTGTAGTGTAGCTAGAATGTCGAATGTGTAGGGACAGACAGCTCAGTGAAAGCCAGCACTTGCAGCCTGCTTCAACAGCGCCACATGCCGCTCGTCCTCGAGATTGAGTGGTAACCCGGCAACGCGGACGTCATAGGATTTGCCAATTTCCTGCCAATATTCAGAGAGCGTCACCTTATACCAACTCATCTTGGGCCGTCCCACGCGGAGCGTCCCCACTTCGTGCTGCTTTAGTGTTGATGGGTTGAGCAACATAGTTTTCACAGGATCGTCGTCCCTGCTGGCAAGTATGGTTGCGAAGAATTTCCGCCGCATGCGCGCGTAGTATTCACTGAGCCTTTCAATGCGGTCTTCAGGCCGCTGGGCCTGCAACTGCTCGTTAGCGCGCGTGTATACATATGTGTTGCTGTGTTGTCTGTCAACATATGTCGTTGTAATCTTTAAAATTTGTCTGAGACCCTTCAACTGGAATGTGTCCAGGCGTTGCCGTGAGCTCTCCGTGAGCTGTGCCGACTCCAGGCCATATATGAGCTTCGAGCGTAGAACGGCATTGAATACTTGTAATTTCAATCGGACGGAGCAGTCTGAGCTTTTGAAAAACAGGCCAAGCTTTTTCCAGACCCCCATGCACACCGAAATGCGATGTCGCAGCTCCATCTGCGGGTCTCCTCTGTCGTTGACTAGACATCCCAGATACTTTACTTTGTGCATGTGTGGCACAACTGTTCCATGGCGGAATTTGAGGGTCATGTGTTGCCCAAATTGAATGATTTCGCATTTGGTTTCATTAAGTTTCAAGCCGTATTTTTCGCTTTCTGCCTCGATTGCGTGCAACAGTTTTTCCAAGGCGGTTTTGCTGGTGGAAGCACAAATTGTGTCGTCTGCGTACAAAATCTCGTCCTCTGTTTGCCCTGGCACCCTCCCTGCCTGCAGGTCTTGGTCCAGGGCGTGGTGAGTATGGACGTCATGGAAGAGGCATGTCATAACTACTAGAAACAGATACGGTGACAACGGGCAGCCCTGGCGTATGCCTGTGGCTTGTTCGTGCATTTGTGACGAAGAGCCCTCGATTTCAACAAAGAAGGTTGGTCTGGCGTACAGAGAGCGGATCGTATCGAGGATCCGTGGGTGAACCTGCATGCGCTCGAGAGACTGGAAAAGCGCCCCGTGCTTCACTTTGTCGAACGCCTTTTCCCAATCGAGTAGCAAGAGTAAAAGGTTGTTCCCGGTTCGCTCTCCGTATTCCATGGCTCTCCGCACAAGGTGGATGGCCTGCGCCGTGCTCTTCCGCTGTCGGAATCCGTATTGTGTTTTCTGGAGGTGAGGATCAAGTGTGTAAGAGAGACGTCTTTGGATGAAGGCTGCGAAGATTTTGTAAATGCTGTTCAGAAGCGATATTGGGCGGTAGTTGTTCAGATTGCTCGAATCGCCTTTCTTGTATAAGAAAACTACCCTCGCCTTTAAAGATTCTTCCGGAATGTGCCGTTGGGTCCACCAATCGTTGAGGGTGCCCACTACTAGAGCGAGCGTGTCGTCATCCATTTCCTTGAAAAACTCCATCGGTACTTCGTCTGGGCCCGGTGCTTTCCGCCGTTTGAATTTCTTTAAAATTGCCCGCAATTCCGTCAACGACAGCGGGGATAAGTCCCACGCCAGGGGGTGATCCACTACTGGATCCCCCCACGGCATCTGCGCGGCAGCATGCCCCGCTGGTGCCCCCCACTGCTTGGTTGCAAGATGTTTAGCTGCTTCTTCCGCTCGTTCGTGCAGGGGGACGGGTGCGCCGTCTGCTTTTTTGTACGCGTATGGTTGTGGCGTGTACTCGGCTCGCAAGCGTTTGAGGCCCATCCACCGGTCTCGAACGTCCATGTTCTGCTGCACGGAGTCTAACATAGCCTGTTTTTTGTCTTGCCGGCGTTGTTTTTTTATTTGGGCAGTAAGTGATTTGATGGCGTCCGGGTCGTTATTGTGCTCGATGACATGTTGGCGTCTTTGGAGGAGGGACTCCACTGTTGCAGAGACCTCTTGCGGTTTACGTTTCGGCGGTAGCTCCGGTATTCTGCCCTCCGCCGCCTGCCGCATGACGTCGGCGAGATTTGCGGGCGTGGCTTCCTGTGGCCAGTGCTCCCTCATGTGCTCATTGAATGCTTGTTTTTGTTCGTCAGAGCATGGGAGATATTTGCGCCTCTCGTGGCCCGTAGGCTTGTGAATTTGTTTCAATCTTATCTCAAGAGTCGCAACCACTGGGTAGTGGTCGGAAGAGAGGTTCGCAGATGTGTGGCTTTCAACGTTACGAACGCTGTTCTTCCAGCGCTGCTGCGCCAAAACATAATCCAGCATTTCGTGCGGCCCCCTCCTGAAAGGCGGGCCCCGTTGTGCCCCTGGCGCCCTGTAGGTGGCGAGTTTTTCCGGTGGCTTGGAGAAAAATGTGTTCATGGCCAAACTGCGCGTGGCGATGCAGTGGGAGATGAATAGCTGCCGGTTCTCGTGCACTTCTTCTGACTGCTGTTCTAAACACGCCGTGCCAGGGTCAAAAGTGCAAGGGCCAATGACGTTTTCGTCCGGTGTGAGTTTCGTTTGTACTCGTGCGTTGAAATCTCCAAGTTGATATACAGGGCCGCGTTTGCAGCGCTGCTTGTGCAGTTGCTCCACGCTTGTATAGAATGTTTGTTTGATGCCTGTTGGCGCGGCCGCTGTGGGGCTGTAGCAGCACATCACAGTGACTGGAGCAACGTGATTTAGCACTAGGTACATCAGTCGATCGTTGACTGGCTGTACATCCATAATATAATTCGCCAATTCGTTTGATACGACGATGGCTACGCCAGCGGAGAAGCGACCATCGGGCTGAACGCGCGTTTCGCCGCTGAAGAACCAACGGTACTTTTGTCGCTTCTCGTGGTGGTTGTCGGGGACGTGTGTTTCCTGCGCGCACAGCACGTCGATGTTATTTTGTTGCATCCATCGTTCGATTTCTGGGCGTTTAATTGGGTCCTTGGTGCCTTGCACATTCAAGGTAGCTATGTGTAATTCGTGTAGGTATGGAATTTTGAAACTAGGGGTACGTGTGCCCTTGGGCTCCTGAGCCCGAAGGGCCTGGGGAAGCGGGCCTCCCCCATGACGTTTTCGTCGTCTGGCCTCGTTCCGTTTCACGCTGCGCCTCGCCCGTCGCGCTGCGACAGACGTGGCCTTTCGCAATCCTCGAGCGGTATTTCGAAGCCTCCGACAGCCCGCTTCCCTGGGGGCGGTACTCGGTCTCCGCAGGCCGTGTCCAATGCGCATGTCCGGAGGAGAGGGGCGAGGGGAACGGGGGAGGGCGGGGGAAGGGAAGGGGGGAAGAGGAGGAGGGAGGGGAGGGGGAGAGGGAGGGAGGAGGGAGGAGGAGAACGGACAGGTAGGTGAAGTTCGGTGCTCTGGCCGCGGCTGACCCGCCACGCCACTGACGGCTGATGATGATCCAGCAAGGGTAGAACATCCAGCATTAGACTCTGGACGCTCCAGCGGGATAGCCCGCGCCCGGCCCCCCGCCCTCTGGGCGAGGTAGTCCTGGGACCCCCCCGGCCCTGACTCTGCCAAGGGACCGAGGCGGGATTCGCTGGCTTGCCCGCCGCTGCCGCTCGGCTCTGCCAGGGCGGTAGCGGGGGCGGTGCGAGAGGAGAGGACGGAACGGGGTTCCGGGACTGGCGCTGCTCGCGCCCGTCGGTCGGCAGCTCCTGGCGCCGGCGGGGAGGGAAGGGGGCGAGAGGGGAGAGGGGGGCAAGGCAGGGAAGGGGCAGGAGGGGGGGAGGGGCCGGCAAGGGCAACGGCAGCGGCAGGCACAGGGCAGGAAGGCGATAAATGTAGCTGATCGTTCTTTGGATTTTTGGTTTGGCCTCTGTTGCTCTTCTCGGCCTCCGTCGGCTGCTCGCCGTCGCGCCCCCCGTCGCCAGGCCTAGGCGCGGCGTGGGGAAGAGAGGAAGCAAGCGGCGAGAGTGGATGAGCTGGCTCTGTCCGGTGTGATCGGTGCTCTGGCTGCCTGTCCCGTGTCTGTCACTTCTCAATTCTGGCTCTCTTGGGCGCTGCTGCAAGAGCGGCCTCCTCCGGGGCCACCCTTGTGACCACTAGGAAAGGAACTACGTCCGCATGCGGCCTCAGAAAATCCTGGAACTGCGACTCCACGGCGGCGCCGTCGATCGAGTAGCCCTGGATGGCGATGACGTGCTTGAACGTGACCTCGTGCTTGCTGCCCGTGGGGGTCGTGATGGTGCTGCCGGTCACCAGAACGATGCCGTCGTCCTTGGTGGCCAGGCTCCACTGCGGCGAGAGCGGCTCCCGGGGCCAGATGGTCTCCACCTCCTTATTGGTGAGCTTCTCGAAGCCGAGTGCTGCCTTCACCGCCGAGAATGCGATGCTGCACGTCTTGCCTGCTGCTGCCTTGTTCTCCAAGACTGTGAAGTTGACCCGCAAGTTGAAGCGTCCAACCACTTCCGGTAGAGCCTGTTCCACTTCCTTCTTCTGGTAGCCCGCCTTCACCCGGACGAAGATCTTCTTCTCGTTCTTGGCCTGGTTCGCGAAGGCCTGCACGACCTTGTCCTTTAGGGGCCCGTTCGACAGGATGGCCTTCTCGACGTCCTTGCTTTGCTCCCAGAACTCCTTAGCCTTGATACGCTTGGTCGGGATGAGTGTGATCAGCGTCTTCATCTCTCTCTCCTCCGTCAGGGCTGCGGCATACTTCATTGAGGCAACTTCCTGCTTCAGCCCCTTGATGGCTTCGAGCGCCTCCGTCGCTTTCTCCGTCGCCTTCTTCGCACCGGATCCGGCGGGCTTCCGCCCGCGCGCCCCTGCGTCAGCTGGGGCGGCTGCTCCGTCTGAGGCGGCTGCTCCTTCGAGGCCCATGTCTTCGAGCTTCCTCCGGCCCTGCTCAAGCTCAGCGTCCTCGTCCTTCTCCACATCCTCCTCCTCGTCCCCCCCCTTCTCCTGCGCGCTGGCTTCGTCCAGCATCTGGGTTGCGGCCTCTTTGTCTCCTTCTGCAAGAAGCTTCCGCAACTTCGCCATGTCCGGTTCCGACAGCACGGTGGGGCGCCTGCCCTTTGCTGCGGATGCCGCGGATGCCATGGCTCGCGGCAGGGTAGGAGGGCAGAGATATGTGAGATACCCTGCTGGCACGGTGCTCGCTTGAGCCCCCCGTGGCTATATACATAAATATATATATGTATACAGATGTATAGACATACATGTATATATATATATCCCTGTACACCTATACATATACATGTGTAGACGCAGATGCGAAAACACTAAGCCCCAATATAAGCATATACCTATACGTGTACATATACAAATACAGATCCACAAACATCTATAAACACACATATATGGACCTCCATCCATCCAACCACCCATCCATCCATCCATCGATCCATCGATCCACCCATAAGTCCATACATACATGCATGCATGCACACACTTATAAAACGCACATGCATGCATGCATACTTACATGTATACATGTACACATGCATGCATACTTACATGTATACATACATACATACATACGTGCATGCATACCCACATACGTAAGTACACATATACATACAAACAAGCATGCATGCGTCAATACATTATTGTATACAGGCCGATATGCATGCATACGTACATACATACATACAGGCATACATGCATACATGCATACATGAATACATACCTACGTACGTACGTAAAAATGTACATACATACATGCATGCACTACAAACAAACATGCCCCCCGCAACTGCGGATATGAGTGAGGGAGCGGAGGGATCGTCGGCAATCTGCGAAACTCCGATGAAGCCAGCCACCGGCGTACACATTACACAACGAGGCCGCCGCATGCGCCGATTTTCGTCTAAGCAACGTAGTGGGCCGCGGGTGGGTCGCGGGTGGGTCGCGGGGTGGGTCGCAGGGTGGGTCGCAGGTGAATTGCGGGCGGGTCTTGGGCGAGGACGACGACGACAACAGCGACGACGACGACGGCGGAACTCAACTTCAGCCACGCACCCAGTGACAGTGAATGACCGCTCGGCCCCGCACACTCCGATATATATATATATATATATACACACACCTATATATATATAAGAATATGTGTATGTACACATCTAGCCCGTCTCCACTTCCGAAAGTCTGCCCAAAACGACCAGCACAGAAACGGAAGGAGCGGGGCACACAGAGTGGGCGACAGCCTCTAAAGAAGAAGAGAGAGCACTTCCTTTTCACTGCAGCGTATTATGTGCGGGAGCCAGGCAGCACGAGGTCCCCAGACGGGTCCCCGGGGCGACAGACAGACTCAAACTGGGACAGGCGAACAGCACGACCGAATCCCTCCGGAGGGGATCAAACGGCATCAAAAATTTTAAAAAGGGCGGCCAGAGGGTGGGTGCACTTGAGTCCGAGCGGCGACGGACGTCGTCGCCGTGCGGCCTTCCCACGCTTCAACTACGCAAACTGTTGCGAAAACCGCGCAGCCCGTCTCCACTTCCGGGGGCCCGTCCAGAACGACCAGCACAGAAACAGAAGGGGCGGGGCCAGACGGAACGGGCGACAGCTCCCAAACAACAACTCCTTTTTCACTGCAGCGTCCTGTATGAGCGGAGCCAAGCAGCACGAGGTCCCCAGACGGGTCCCCAGGGCAACAGACAGGCACAGACTGAGACAGGCGAACAGCAACACAGAATCCCGAAAACCCCAAGCGGGAAGGGACTGGCCGACAGGCCGACCATACAGTGATGTAGGCTATCGAAAAAGGATATCACGCAACTATACGTGAGAACGTACGCCCATCTAGTGTTCAATCGAAAGTGCGAGTGCGTTACAGAAACGAGGCGGATAAGCCGCGGTGTAGGCAATCAGATGAACACCATTACTGTGGCCTGAAAGAAAAACGCGTGGCTTTCCCGACCGCGAGCAAGCCCCACGGCGCCCAGCGCAGCGCTTTGCCAGCGGCTCGAGGTCGACAGCTCCCCACGCTGCCAACGAGGTGCGCTTCCTTCAGGCGGCGCCGTCCTGGCAGCAGTCGAAAGTGATCTGCTGGCAGGATGAATGCTGAAGCACTCGGCGAAGACGACGCGCTTTCCAGACGAGTGACCCAGCTGGGTTCTCAATGAACACGGGAATGTGCAGTTCGATACATAGTTCAATGATCTGTCGCAACTCTGGTGGAAGGGCTCGTTGCCTACACGCACTTTGGCAGCCATGTGCGGTAGCAGGCCGGCACGCCCCGTCGGCCGAGCACGCGTCCCGAAGGGGACCCAGGGCCTGAGTCCACGTCGTGCAAGGAGTGCCGACCCACACCGTCCCCGCAACAGGGCCAGCGAGCCACCCTTTCAGGGCGGTCCAGAAGCTGGGGTCGAGGTGGTCCTCGGACGGGCCGCGGCAGAGGTCCAAAGCCGGGGCAGCCAGCTGCCGCTCTTAATCGCCTCCGCGAGGTGCCCCGAGCCGGCGAAGAGCTCGAGCACCACGCCCCGCCTCCGTTGGGCGCGGATGGCCTCCTTCAGCCGCCTCTTGAGGCGCCGGCTGCAAGGGCTGCCGACGGCGGCCACCTCAGCAGCAGGGGCGCCAGTCGCGGCAGCTGACAGAGCGGCGGCGCCCGGCAGCCCTGGGGCGGCTGCTAACGGCGCGCTGCTTGCCGCTCGATGACCCGCCTGTCCGCCGTCGGAGGCACTGGGTCCAGCACCCTGAGCACGGCGGCGGGCACCAGGCTGAGAATGCCCGCCTTTTGGCAGCCGTGCTCCAGGAGCACCACGAGGCGGGTCTCGACCAGGGACCCGAACGCGAAGACATCCGCATGGACCCTCGCTATCTCGTCCAGCAAGGCGCTCTCCTTCCCGTAGCGGCGCATGCACGACGGAACAGCCCATCGCCCCCTGCGCTGGACCTCGACTGGACTGCGCTGGCCCGTCAAGGTCGTCCGAGGCGCCCCAATACCGCAGGCTGTACAGATGCGGCCTCAGCGCAGCGAGGCTGAAGGCGTTGATCTCTCCTCCAAGGAGAAGCCCCACAGCGACGAGCCTGCAGCTGCTGCCTGCTGCCTGGCGAAACGCACACACGATCGGCCACAGCGCCGTCTCGTCCAGCATCACGCCGTCGTCGCACTGACCCGTCTTCCTGGCGACGCCTCGCTCCAGCGGGTGGAGCAGCAGACCCCAGCTCGACAGACTACTATCACGTATAGACTTCCTCCGAATGGACTTGGCATCCGCCGACAGGAAGGTATGAGGCACTGCGATGGGCATCGCCACTCCATGGCGCAGTGACGCGCCAAGAGCAAGGAGCCCACCTGGAACATGACCGCGGTGTTAGGCTGGCGCAGGGCGTCCCAGAAGCAGCTCAGCATGCCTTCGTACTCGGCCACGTTGTTACTGCACGCAGGCAAAAGTCGGCCGACACGCCCCTGCACCGCCCATTACGGAGGTGGACGGCGCCGAAACTGTTTCTGACGAGCCTGGCGCCAGCTTGACCTTGATCCCAAGACGCCCCGTCGGATCTGTAGGCGACCGGGTGCTCGTGCGGGGGTGGCTGCCGTTCTTGGCGAACCCGGCGCCGTTGTCTGCTCTTAGTGAGCGTCGGGCCGCTGATCCTAGCGTGCTCCACCAAGCGCAGGAGATGCCGTGCGAGGTCGCGCTCGTCGTCGAAGCGCCCCCCTCTGCATCGCCCATCGGGCCCGGCCCACAGCGAAAAGCAGAGCGGCGACGGATTGCAACTGCGCGCCGTGCATCCGCGAGCTCAATAATGCACGTGATTCGAAGCATTCGTCCATTACGCCTGTGCTCCTGCGAATCATGTCGTAGACGGCGCGAACGATGCAGCATTCGCACATGTGCTCTATGCTGTCCTCGCTGCCACCACATAGGAGGCACTCGACTGCGCCGACGTCACCTCAGAAACGCATGTGCCTCGCGGTGGGTAGCGCGTTGAGGAGCCATTGGAAGAGTGCCCTAGAGGGCTCCAAGAGGACCTCTGGGAGGCCAAAATCCGCTAGTTCCCTTAGCTTGTTTAAAGATTTGAACGGTCTTCCCCTTGGCTGATTCAATAATTTCAGCGGCCTCGCCTTTTCGGGTATCCGACGCACCAAGACGGGCCCCTAGGACCCCAAGATTGCCGCAAGACGGCCCAAGAGGCCTGCAAGACGGCCCAAGAGGCCCCCAAGATGGCCCAAGAGGAAGACGGCCGCAGAGACCTCCAAAACGGCCCTGACGCGGGCCCCAAGACGGCCTCCGCACCATAGATGCCCCCAGAGGCCCGTAAGAGTTCCCCAAAAGGCCCCAGGAAAACTCAAGAGGCTTCAGAAAGCCCCGAAGAGACTCCTTATAGGCCCCCCAAGAGGCTCCCAGGGCGCCCCCAGGAGGCCTCAAGAGGGTCTCAAGAGGCCTCGCCTTCTTCCTCCTCGTCCTTCTCCTGCCTTTCCTTCTCCTGTCTCTTCCTCTCCCCAGTGTTCCCCCGAAGGGTTCCACAACTGCTGGGGCAAGACACAGTCAATAGCTTGGCCAGACGTCGGCCCAACTCTTGGGCGCATGGGCGCTTCCAAATAATGCGCCGCTGGCGTCTTTGATGATTCGAAATACGTATCGGAGCATGCATATACATATATATATATATATAATCACGTACATACATATATACATGCATGCATGCATGCATGCATGCATACATACATACATGCATACATACATACATACATACATACATGCATACATACATACATACATGCAGGCATGCATGCATACATACATAAATTCGTAAATACATGCATACACAAACACATACATACATATACAAATTCATGCATACATACATGTATACATGCATGCATACATACACATATACATGCATGCATGCATGCATGCATGCATGCATGTAGACATACATACATATATACATACATACATGCATACACAGAAACCTAAATATCTACACACATGCATGCATGTGTACATACATGCATGCATGTATACATACATACATAAACACCGACAGACAGACAGACAGACAGACAGACAGACAGACAGGCAAGCAGACATGCATGTATCCATGAGCATACATACATACATACACGAGATAAACATAAACACAGATATGCGTATATACATCTATACATACATACATACATGCAGGCATGTAGACATACATACATTCATGCATACGTACATACATACATGCGTGCATACGAACACCCATACATGCATGAATGGATAAATGCATGCATGCATACATGCATGCATGCATTACATGCACACGTGCATGCATACATGCATAAGTGCATAGATACATACATACGTACGTACATGCATACATGCAGACATACACGCACATACATACATGTATACATGCACACGTGCGTTCGTACACACATGCATACATACATACAGACAGACAGACAGACAGACATGAATACGTACATACCGACAGACAGACATGCGTACATGCGTGCATACATACACACAGATATGAATGCATGCACGTATACATACATGCATCCATGCATAAATATATATATATATATATATGCTCATATATAAGTGGATACATTCATGCATGCATGCATACATGGGCACATACAAACATACACACATACATGTTTACATACATACGTGTATGCATACATACACGCATACATATATGCATACATGCATACATACACATATACATTCACAGACATACACACATACATACATACATGTACGAATTCATGCACGCATGCATGCATGCATGCATGCATACATACATACAGACACACATGCAGAAATGTATACAGACAGACAGACAAATAGACAGACCAGGCAGACATGCATGTACGCATGCTTGCATGCATACATACATACACACAGACATACAGACAGACAGACAGGCAGGCAGGCATGAATATATATATATATAATGTGTACGTACACACATACATAGATACATACATGCATACATACACACACACACACCATTTACCCAGGGCCAGATCGGTTGCCCAGGCGGTAAAAATAGACAAATTCCAGCCTCGGCTATCGGGCGCCGAGGCCTTTCCAGAGCTTGCTAGAGCTCTCCGAGATCGTGCCGGTACGAACCAAAACGACCAATCCCTTTCCTGGGCATGCCTGCCTGCCTCATGCTCCTGCTCCTCTCCCCTCTCGGGGCAGGGGAAGCGAAAGGCACGCGCATGTGGTGTTTCTTGGTGCTCCAGACTCCAGGTATGAGGCTGCTGAATGGCCAGACTCTCGTGAACGGCCTTGGGCCTTCAAACGCAGCCCCCAGCAACAGGTAGTGAAAGAAGAGTAGAAAGAGGAAGGGGAGGGGGAGGTAGTGGAAGGCTCAAGGAAAGGTTTTCGGGGCCTTCAAGATTCTGATAGGTTCTCATGAGTCCTGCGAAGCTCTACAGGATCCTACGAAGGAGGAAGAGGATGAGGACTCTCAGAAGGCGAGTCCAGGGTGACCATGCCTCTACCCAAAAGGCCGAGTCTTTGCGAAGAGCGAGCGCAGTCGCCGTTCGGGCAGTACGAGCGAGTTCTAATTGATGGTTGTGCATGTAATTGACGCGGGCTCCCTTGGTCATACTCATATGCAGCATGTGATAGAACTGGTCGGCCATACCTGCGCACTCAAAGGGGTCGAGCGTGCCAGCAACGAGGGCGAGGCGAACGCGCGGGTCGGGGAGGAGGTACTTGCCACTCTCACGTGAGACAAGTCCACTCGAATCGTGGGCAGCGCATATACGAATGCGTTTAGGAGTCAAGCGGACAAAGACATCACATGAGACGGGCTACGTCGGGGGGACGATACCTGGTGGAAGAGACCCACCCGCCCGTCCACGTCGTCACCTCCGCCCAACGCCAAGAGGACCGCTAACTAACGTATCCAGAACCGCCCCCCGTGGAACCTCGCGAGTGCGCCCCGAGGAGGACCCCGAGCCAACTGGGGAGAAGGAGGAGGACGTATGGGGTGGGGGCCAGCATCAGCCCTCGGAGCTAAGACGCCCAGAATCGTTTACGGCCCCCCTGCTTACCACCACCCTCCCCACACTCCAGGAGCAGTCAACACCCGACCGATAAATCGGATCGGATCGGAACGGCCACCGACTCGCGCCGCATCGCCAGAGAGTCGAAATCGGGTCGAAGCGGCCACGCCAAGGCGCACAGGAGCGCCGTGCAAGCACGAAGCAGATATCGAGCCCATCGGTCGGAGCGAGCTGGATAGCCCCCCCGCCCGAGGCCTCCTGGAGCGCTTCAGGAACAGCGGGTGCAGCAGCAGCAGGAACTGCACCTGCGGCAACCCTGGGCCCGACGAGGCGCCCGAGTACCGCCTCACGGCCACCTCCTCCCGGCGCCCGTCGACGACGACGTGCAGCGGCGGCTCGTCGCCGTCGGGCTCCCCGTAGACGGCGTCGGGGCGGGGGTCGTCCCCGTCTCCGCTCACCTAGAGGCCTCCCAGATGGGCTCCGAGTAGATGGGTTCGGAGGATCGCGCCGCATCGGAGTTGCATCGGCGACGTGGGCGGTAAATCGGCGACGTGGGCGTGGAGAACATCGGGCTCCACATCGAGCCGCATCGCCGAGGCATCGGCGATGCGCCGCGATCCCCTGACCCAATCTACCCCGACCCCAAGTTGGGAGTCCTAGATCACCGCAGGGTGCACCATCGTGATCTCGGTCGGGTGGTGCTGGGCCACAACGTCCATCACCTTGCCGAGCCCGCCCGCGATCACCTGCGCGACAATCAAGAACGGGTCTTCCGCAGGATGACGTAGCCACCTTACGCGGTGGCTTACGCGGGCCGCCTGCGCGGCACGCTGCATTGGAGACGGGGGCGCCTGCGCGCGAGCTTACGCAGGCAACTTCCGCTCCAATGCCGGTGCAAACGGCCCCGCTTCTCTGCGTCGCTTACCTTGACGTTGCGGTGCGGCAGGCTGTGCTCAATCGAGGCTGCCAGCACCGAGGGCCCCTCCGCCGGCGCCGCGCGCCCGCCGGCCGCGCCTCGCTCGGGGCCCGTGGGCACCACGGGGAGCGCCGGCGCGCCCCGGAAGGTGCGGCGGCGCTGCTGCGTCAGCCAGTCCAGCAGAAAGTAGACGACGACGGGGAGGAGCCAGAAGAGGCAGAACCAGAAGGCGGAGGTCGGCAGCGGGGGGCCCGAGGGCAGAAGACCCGAGTCATCGGTCGGCAGCGTGCTGCTGCTGCTGGTGATGCCGTCATCGGGCACTGGCGCGCTGTCTGCCAGCGTGCCCCAGATGTGGTCAAGCAT